TGTGCGCGCTCCCTGGGAGCGTGCGGCACCACAGCCGGTGCTCGCTGTGTCCACAGATTGTTGTACAGGACCTCTGTGTGAGGTTCGGATTCATGTGATCCCTGATTGGCCAATCAGTGATCACATAAATAGTAGTAAAACAGGATGTCACTTCCTGACATTACTTACTACTTGTGAAATCTGTGAATGATCACAGAGGTCACATGGTACAAGGCTATTCACAACAGCCTTGTACCATGTGACAAGCTGTGACCAACCACAGCTCTCACAGTATTTCTCAGTGGCTGCAGGAATGCAGCCAGAGAGAAGGAGAACTGATTGCTTTTACAGCCTTTATGGGTGTAAAAGCAATCAGTGTAAAAAAAGAAAAATAAATCTTCATTACCTCTCACAAGTAGTACAGTGTCACTATGGTGGCACTATACTGCTAGGGTGACAGTATGTTAAAAAAAAAAAAAAAAACAAATTAAAATTATAAAAAATTTTATAAACTAATTTTGGTTATTTTTTTTTTTTTACTAAAAAGATACATGAATACATTTTGGGCAAGATTTATGAAGAATTTTTATAAGATAAAAACTTTTTCTCAAAATTTTGCGACTTTTTCATTTATATACCAAAAAAATGAAAATCCCAGTGGTGAATAAATACCTCCAAAATAAAGTTTTATCTCTCTCAAAAAAAATGCTAAACAATTCATATGGGTACAGTGTTGCATGACCGTGCAATTGTCATTCAAAGTGTGACGGCGCTGAAAGCTGAAAATTGGCCTGGACTGGAAGGGGGTAAAAGTGTCTGGACCTGAAGTGGTTAACATACACACCTGCAGCGGTTCGCATTAACGGGCTGCAATTTTGATACGGTGTGGAATTCGCACAGAAAATGCTGCGAGTTCTGCACCACATCAGTGTGAACCAGGGCTCAATGTACTCATGAAGTCAGCAGCTGCTTGTGCTAAATTACAGGACCCAAAGCTCACCGGGAATTTTATAGTTGCCAGTAACAGCAGCAAACGTGGGATGCATTTTTGTACAAATATATTTAGGCAAAAGGCCAACTTAAACATTTTGCACTTTGTTACAAAACTTATTTTTAGTGTGGTCTGTGTCCCCATTAGAGAGATTTTCACTTACTTCCAGATCTGTCTAAAAATGTTAAAAAGACAGGAAGTGTGTTTTTCTTTTGGCTGTAACACATTTCAGTGGGTCTGTATGTGCCTGAACCTATCTACAGTATGTATGAGCTATGCTGTTTTTCTTCAATAAAGACTTTGCTAAAGAAAAAGACAGGATGTGAGGAAGTGCTATTTTATTCCCTCTTCTGTCTGATACCTGCTGTTTAGAAGCCACAGGGCCCTTTACAGCCAACCTGAAAGGGCCCCCCCAAATGACGAAGACAGCCAACCTAACAGGGCCCCCCATCCCCACAAAAATAGTTTACTATGTTGCAGTTATGAACACAGTGAGTGATTGGTACCGATCACTCATTGTGTTCATTCAGGAAAGGAAGGGGTAGGTAAATTACTGGAACCGATCCCCTGTATGCCTGTCTCTGCAGCAGGTCAAAGTCAGTGGAGAAGAATACAGCTTTCAACTGCTGCAGAGAGCGCCATACAGGAGATCAGTTCCAATAATTGCCCCCCCCCCCCCCGCTGGTCTGGGGGTACCCCCTTATCCACGGCCTTTCCCGCTATGTAGGCTGGAAGTGCAGAGAAATTGCCCCAAAGAAGAGACAGACAGAAATACACCTTCCACTCTAATTAAAATATTTTGGCTGGAGTTGGGCTTTATGATTTCTACATTCACAGACTGGACCTGAACTCTCTGAGTTGGGTTGGACAAAGCAGTAACAGCAGCAAACAATCAATGCCTGGGTAAAATGGTCCTAGCAAGGTAATGCTATTAAGGTTCTTTGAGACGCGTTCTCACGCACATTTGAATGGACTGCTGTGCCTGCGTTTCATGCGCCATCTTTACAAAGCAGCAGCAGGGAAATCACATGGTGCGATTTCCCGGTGGTTCCCACAAACCTACATCGTTTTTAGATGTGAGGGGGTGGTGCATTAAGACTGAATGGCAGCTCGGAAGTCTGTAAAGTTGCTGGTGCAGGAAGAAGTGCCATTCCCACAGCCACAGCCACCCACATAAGCGTAAACTTAGCCTAAGGGCCCATTCACACCAGAAACTGCACGATGAGGGCCCATTCACACCAGAAACTGCACGATGAAGGCCATTCACACTAGAAACTGCACGATGAGGGCCCATTCACACCAGAAACTGCACAATGAGGGCCCATTCACACCAGAAATTGCACGATGAAGGCCCATTCACACCAGAAATTGCACGATGAAGGCCCATTCACACCGGAAACTGCACGATGAAGGCCCATTCACACCAGAAACTGCACGATGCACCCATTCACACCAGAAACTGACGATGAGGGCCCATTCACACCAGAAACTGCCCATTCACACCAGAAACTGCACGATGAGGGCCCATTCACACCAGAAACTGCACGATGAGGGCCCATTCACACCAGAAACTGCACGATGAATGCCCATTCACCCATTCACGATGAGGGCCCATTCACACCTGAAACTGCACAATGAGGGCCCATTCACACCAGAAACTGCACGATGAAGGCCCATTCACACCAGAAACTGCACGATGAAGGCCCATTCACACCGGAAAACTGCACGATGAAGGCCCATTCACACCAGAAACTGCACGATGATGCCCATTCACACCAGAAACTGCACGATGAGGGCCCATTCATACCAGAAACTGCACGATGAATGCCCATTCACACACTGCACGGTGAGGGCCCATTCACAGAAACTGCACGATGCCAATTCACACCAGAAACTGCACGATGAAGGGCCCATTCACACCAGAAACTGCACGAAGAAGGCCCATTCATACCAGAAAATGCACGATGAAGGCACGATGAAGGGCATTCACAACAGAAACTGCACGATGAAGGCCCATTCATACCAGAAAATGCACGATGAGGCCCATTCACACCAGAAACTGCACGATGAGGGCCCATTCACACCAGAAACTGCACGATGAGGGCCCATTCACACCAGAAACTGCACGATGAGGGCCCATTCACACCAGTTGCAGTGGGTGCTTCTTTGATTACACTCCAACTGTATAAACAGTCCAAAATCCAGGTTACCCTATGGGCATAGTTCAGTACAGCAAGCTGCATTTTTCTGCACTGCAAATGCACTTACTACGCGTTTTTGCATGCACAGTGACGTGCATTTGACACCTTTTTTTACGTGTGTTTCCATGTCTTTGGGGTGCATCTTTCCTAAGCTTGCATTTCCTTTGCCGTCAATTAATTTTCTTTCTTATTTGGGCTTATATGTGCACTGCACTGCCTTACATTGCACTTGCATGCATTTCTGTGCAGAAAAATGCAGCATACTGTACTTTTTTTTACTGCACTGCAATAGTGTGAACTATTCCCATAGGATAACCTGGTTTGTGGACTATTTATGCAGTTGGAGTGCAGTCAAAAATCCATCTCACTGCATCTGGTGTGAATGGGCCCTAAGGCTAGGTTCACACTTATCACCTATGCATGTTGCAGTTCATGCGTTTTTATGGCGCATTTTGCAGTGCGGTTTGCAGTTTTTCTCACATATTTTGCATTTCGTGTTTTTGGGATCTCTTAATGTTGCTAAAGGTAGGTGTCTGTTGTCATGTAGAAAATGCAACAAAAACGCATGAACATGCCTTTTTCATGCACTTCCATTGAAGCCTATAACAAAACCGCAATCTGCTGTGGGCAAAAAAGTCCCTGACCAAAAAAAAAACATACCATTTGAAAACACATAGATGTGAACGTGACCCATAGGAAATCAGGTTAAATGGACTGTGGTACGTTTCTGCAAATCTGAAAACGCAATGAAAAATGCATAGGTGTGAACCTAACCTGAGGATCTGGCTGGCTCAAAGAGAGCTTTTTGCACAAGCTGGATATATGGAAAATGCTGATCTTTATAGACTATTAACCGCTTCCCCACCGCCCTATAGTAGAACCTCTGCTATAGGGCAGCAGGGCAGTGCAAAATCATGTATGTATGCGTGATCTGCATTATCAGGAGCACGCGCGTGCATGCCTTCCTACCGGTACCGCCATTAGTGGCTAGGCTTGTCAATTACCGGGTCCCCACCAGAGATTCCCCACCAACACCTGGAGATTGCCATGCAAACCTGACAGGGGAGAGACCTGTTTGTAAACAACACAGGTCTCTCTCCTGCCAGCAAGGACATGCTGCTGTGTATTTCTCTGCTTTGTCTCCAAGGTAAAACAGCACACAGTTTACCCCTTCCTGCCCAGTGTCATTAGTACAGTGTCAGTGCTTTTTATTAGCACTGATCACTGTATAAGTGTCGTTGGGGATGTCAGTGGCATCCCCAGTGTCAGAATGCCTACTGCAGTCCGCTATAAGTCGCTGATCACCGCCATTACTAGTATAAAAAAATACAAATTCCAGTATATATACCACCATTTGTAAATGCTATAACTTTCACGTAAACCAATTAATTTACACATATTGGGATTTTCTTTAGCAAAAACATGTCACAGAATACATTTTGGCTTAAGTTTATGTTAAAATTTGATTTTTAAATTTTTTTATTGGACATGTTTTATCGCAAAAAAAATAAAAAAAATAGGGTTTTTTTTTCAAAATTGTCAGTTTGTTTATAGCAAAAAAAAATAAAATAAAAAAAAAAGAGGTGATCAAATACCACCGAAAGAAAGCTCCATTTGTGGGAAAAAAAGACATAAATGTAATTTATGTACAGCGTTGCATGGTCGCTGTCAGCTAACATATTGCAAAAAATGGCCTGGTCAGGAAGGGGGGGAGGGGTGAATCCTCTGGAGGGCAAGTGGTTAATACCAATGATGTTCCAATTGCCAACAATCAAGAAGAAGAAGAAAGAAAATTTGTCTTGCGAACATACCGTAAAGGATCACTCACCCTTTTTTGGGGTACTTGAACTCACTAGGATTCAGGGCGTCATGGCGTTTGCCGAGGGTGAACCCCAGTACAGACAGAACAAGACAGTCGAATATTCCCAGTATGGCCAGTATATATGCCCAGTGCACGGAGCACGTCCCCAGCTCATATCTGTCTGAGCGGTAGCCACACAATGGGCGGCCACACGGCAGAATCCCATCCATCTGGGAAGAGGATGCAACCCAAAGCTTGGCATGAGGCTTAAAATAAATAGAAATAAAAAAAAGTTAACAGAGACAAAGGTCTGGCTATTCTCACACCTACACTGGTTTAAGTGAACTGTGCCCGAGTTCCATTCTCCCAACTCCCCCATGGGTTTGTAAGGAAGTGTGCCCAGGGACACATCCCTGCTAACCATACCAGGGATCTGTTTTACTGCACATTTCTCTATGGAGAGGACTGTGCTCCAGTACAGTTTGCATTCACACTGCAGCAAGCCATTCCATTCCACAAGTGAACCAGCTGGATCAATCAACCTGGCCCGGGCTCGGTTGCATTTTTTTTGCACACATTTTTAGTAGTGGACAGTATCAGTAGGGCAGTGCATGGTGTCAGTGGGCCAGTGAATGGTGTCAGTAGGGCAGAGGATGGAGTCAGTAGAGCAGTTGATGGTGTCATTAAGGCAATGGATGGTGTCAATGAGGCAGTAGACAGTGTCAGTGAGGCAGAGGACAGTGTCAGTGGGGCAGTGGATGGTGTCAGTAAGGTAGTGGTCGGTGTCAGTGGGGCAGTGGACTGTTCAAGTGAGGAAGAAGACGGTGTCAGTAGAGCAGTGGACAGTGGGGCAGAGGACAGTGTCAGTAGAGCAGTGGATGGTGACAGTGGACAGTGTCAGTAGAGCAGTGGATGGTGGCAGTGGACAGTGTCAGTAGGGTAGTGGATGTGTCAGTAGAGCAGAGGACGGTGTCAGTAGGACAGAGAGGATGGTGTCAGTGGAGCGGTGGATGGTGTCAGTGTAGCAGAGGATGGTGTCAGTAATAGAACACTGAGGTGGTTGCTAGGTCTTTAATAACAATGGAGCCATGTTTATTTTTCCATAGACATCTAGTGCAGGTTGATGAACACAGAATGGACTGAAAGTGTGACAAGATCAAGAAATGGTGAGATTTTAGTGTGTGGCACTCACTTTTGCTCTCCACCTCCTCTCTTGGTTCAGCCTCCAGCAACAGTGCTCCTCCTGGTACCACGACTCCAACTTAGCTATGATTTCTTTACCTAACACGGCCTCTTCTCTCGGGCACCACCCCATCCTCTAGTGCTGTGCTGCTCCTATGTCGTGCTCCCGTCTTCCTCACACACTTGACTCGCAAAGGAGACTGGATCAACGTGGCCTCCTTGGCCACGTGACTCCCCAATGGCGGCGGCGCCCCTAGGTTCTAGAAGGGACAGGACTCATGTGAAGCGAGGCGGCCTGGGAAATTGCTGACAGTCCACTGTTCCAGCTTTTAGTAATTAATCTGCACCTCATATCTGTGAAGGAAGAACGTGGCTCCAATGTCCCCTGGTGCCTGATCTTTGACGCAGCTCTAGCACCTATAATGTGAAGAAGATTGGGTACCGGGGGAGATGGAGGGGGAGAGAAGATAGGATGAGCCTGGTGGCGCCCCTCTCTATATCTGGAGCCTGGGGCAGATGCCCCCCCCCCCTAGTTTTGGCCCTGGCTGCAGAAACCAGATTGTGTGTACAACCCCCTGCTGTCAGGTTTGTACAACGTATGGAGCTGGCAGCGAAAGGGGTAAATACAACAGAGAAATGCATTGATAATGGTTCAAAAGTAGCACCCCATGTCAAACAATCAGAGCAGACCAGAGAGTTATAAACACAGCAGGAATCGTGACTACTGACAATTCCTTCGGCATAATGATTGGTGGCAAAAAGGTTTAGTGCATGGCGAATGGTGGAGGAAAAGGGATGGCACGAATTAAGTGTCAGGTTTTTGGTAGAGAGTATAAGAAGGAAGGGACAATAGAAGAGAAGACATCGAAGAGAAGACTGGTCGCAGGGTCTGGTCCACAGGGTCGCCGCCCCCCCCCCCCACGGCTCCTAAGGTACGACCGAGCCATGTATGGCAATCAGCATACCACTTCACACCCTCTCCACCTTGGGCTCTGCAGCAGCTGAGCAGCAGGGGCCCCCGTCCTGGTACCAGCCACAGGAGGAAAGCAGCAGAATCAGGAGGATCCTCCATGCTGTGTGTGTCATCTGAGCTGATAGCAGCCCAGCTGCTACTCCTGTTGTCAGGCTCCGCCCACGGGATCTCTAGTGGTCCACGGCACGGGTTTCCCAGGACGCGGAGTCTAAGTCCCAGTCTGCCTTTTCACCAGAGCCCCTGATGGTGGGGATGGACTTGGTGCAAGACTGGAACCAGGTCGCGTCCCTGGGCACCCCCGGCGGTGGCAGAGGGGTCCCGCTGAGGGTATGTGCCCGGGATGAGTCTGCTGTGAAGGGGATGACAGACCCTGATCCGAGCGGGATGGATGGGATGACACAGATCCCGATCCGAGCGGGATGGATGGACGACTGCTAGGAGTGAGCGAGGTCAGACTAAGCCGGGTCGGTATCGTGCGGGCACCTAGCCTTCCGTGGTACAGAGGGAGCAAGCGGAGGATGGTCGGGTCACAAGCCAGGTTCAGCAGGTAGCGGGCAGCGTGGTACAGAGAGTCAGTCAGAGGATGGTCAGGAACGAGCCAGGGTCAGAGCAGGAGAGGGTCCAGCGTAATCAGAACAGGCAGAGTTTGGCAACAAGGAAAATCGTACTAGCAGGAACAGGAACAAGACCTTCGCGGCACTTTGGAAATGCACAGGGCAGATTTAAATAGGGGCGCCCTGAGTTTCCATTGGTGCGGCCGCGATCCGTACTGCGCATGCGGGCCGCCGCCGCGATCTCTGTATTCGCCGGCCAGGAAGAGTCGGCGATCTGCGCATGCGCGCGCCGACGCTGAGCGCGGCCGGGATCCCTGACATTGCCCCCCTCCTACGGGCAGCCTCCGGATGCCCAACCGACCCCCCCTTCCTATGCCTGGTTCCGAAAAAATCTCTGCACAAAGTCTTGGGCGTGCACATTTTGGGGCCGGCTCCCACGAATTTTTCTTCCGCCCCATACCCTTTCCATTTCACCAGAAAACTGAGTCTGGCCTCCCCTTTTTCCTATACAATCCAGGATAGCCTCAACTTCAAATTCCTCCTCCCCATATCCACGTTTAACTGCCTCCGTGGTTTAGACCTTCGGTCCGGGAAGGGGGTCTGGAGTTGCTGGTTTCAGTAGGGATACGTGGAAGACCGGATGAATCTTCATAGATTCAGGCAGAGCGAGCTCGTAATGCTACCTCTCATTGATCCTGCGTTTGACCCTAAATGGACCCAGGAATTTGGGGAGCCAATTTCTTCGATGGGCAGGACATCTTTAAATTTGTGGTGGACAACCAAACCTGGTCCTCCGTGTCCGCAAACTCAACTCCCCTCTTCTCTTTTTATCAAAAGCCCTCTTATTGCTCTCCTGGGCCTTTGCCATCGCCTCTTGGAGCAATTTGCTATTAGAGGATAAAAAGCTCAGCATGTCCTGCGTGGCCCGAACCGTGACTTCCGGAACTCAAATCCGGCAAAAAAGTGGGGTGGAACCCATACATTTTGCGAAAAAAGGGAGCCTGGCCTGTAGCAGAATGACTCGCGTTATTATAGGTGAACTCCCTGCTATGCGGCAGGAGTGTCAACCAGGTCGTCTTGGAGGAAGGTAGTGTAGCATCTGAGTACTGTTCAAGTGTCTGATTCGTTCGTTCTGTCTGGCCGTTTGTTTGTGGGTGATATGCAGAGGACAATGACAGTTTAATCCCAAGCGTCTCACATAGAGCTTTCCAAAATCTAGACGTAAACTGAACCCCCCCTATCTGACACAATATCCTTGGGGGGATTCCGTGGGAGTCTTACCACCTCCCTGATAAAAAACCTGTGCGGTCTCATGGGCTGTCGGTGTGTCCTTTAAGGGTACAAAATGAGCCATCTTGGACAAACGGTCTACAATCACAAAGATTGCTGTGTGTTCCTGGGAGGGGGGAAGCTCTACAATAAAGTCAACGGAGATCATGCTCCAAGGTCTGTCAGGTATGGTAGTGGGCGTAATAGGCCCCCAGGCCTTGTTTCTGGTAGTTTTATTCCTCTGGCACACGGTGCAAGTCTTAACATATTCTCGCAATCCCTGGCCATAGTGGGCACCAAAAGGTGCGTTGCAATAGTTCCAGGGTCTTGCGTATTCCAAAATGTCCCGCTAACGGGTGGTCGTGGCAGTATCCAAGTACCAAGGTACGGGTCTCCTCGGGAACTACAATCTGGCCTTCTTCCAAGAGAAGCCCCTCCCGATTCACTAAGGAAATACCAGTGTGTGCTGGCATGCCTATGGATGCGGTCTGCAGTCTGGAGAGCGGAGCTCAGATTGTAGGATCAAAAAGTTCCCTGAGGACAAGATTGTGTCGGTCGGGGCGTCTCTTCAGGGTCCCCGAACATACGGGAAAAGCGCGTCGGCGCTTAGTATTCTTTGATCCTGTCTATTAGGTAATGTGAAAAGCAAATCGCGAAAAAAAAGTGCCCACCTAGCCTGACGTGGTCTCAAGCGCTTTGCTGTCCTCAAATATTCCAGGTTTTTGTGATCTGTGAATATCAATATTGGGTGTACTGCCCCTTCTAATAAATACCTCCATTCCTCTAGTGCCACCTTGATTGCTAGAAGCTCCCGGTCCCCCAATATCGTAATTCCTTTCTGCGGAAGTCAGTTTTCTAGAGAAAAAGGCCACTGGGTGCATGAGCTCTTTAACGCCCTTCCTCTGCGACAAAATCGCCCCCACTGCGTTTTCAGACGCATCCACCTCCAGGATATAGGGCATAGATGAGTCAGGATGGCTCAGGATAGGGGCCTCAGTGAATAACCTCTTTAAAGTGGTAAACGCTTCCTGCGCTTCTGGTGTCCACTGGAAAACAGACCCCCTGTCTGGTTAACTGAGTAATCGGGGAAACTAAACCTTAAAAGTTCTTAATGAACTTTCTATAGAAGTGTTTGCGAAGCCTATGAATCGTTGGACCGCCTTCTTGTCAGTCAGTGGGTATAGGCCAATCTAAGATAGCTGACACCTTTGGGGATCCATGGCTATACCTGTAGTGGAAATGGTCAGACCCAAAAAGGAAATGCTATGCTGCTCAAAGCAGCACTTGT